CGTAGAGACGAATATAAAATACAACCCATCCACACCACAAGACCGATAATGCTCTGTCCATCAAATCCCAATTGTGTAGACTTAGCTGTAGAGTTCGCGCCCACTATTCCCAACAGTCCAGGATTACAATCAGAGTCTAAAAAAATCATTACAGTATTTCATTCCACTATTTTTAATAAAAACCTGGTGAATTGGAGACCGTAGACCACGTCAAGTAGATGGTGTACAAAGAAACAATCGACGATTGCAACAGTCCAGAACGTGGCAGCTTTTCCTGCACTTTAGGCAAAACAGATACGATACTTATACCGACTGCCAAAATTAGGTTAATTGAAATGAAGAATTTATTCAAGCTACAATCATTGGCCTGCAAAACAAAAGTTAGCGCGCAACGGTAACTCGAGCGCGTTTTACCTTAGTGAAAAAGACATAGAGCAGCACCACACCGGTAAGTGCGAGGGCGTAATTGAGAAACGTAACGCCCAAAAGTGCAATGTACCAGCCTCTCGATTCGGTCTCCTCGTAATTGCCCACCCACGCGTCGGCCCATGAGTGAGCGAAGTCAACAATCAAAATTAGTTGTATCAGTATGAAGAGAAAGCCGCCGATCAATCCGAAGTACATCCATACCGAACCAAAAGATGCTTCGGGAATGAAAAAGGCGCCAATTATTCCACCAATAATTAGCAGATATTTTAATCCCCAAAAGCTAAAAGCGTAATATGCAATAAGTGTCATTAAAGTTTGTTACACAAAACCACTCCTGTTTTTGACTGATTTGAGTATGTTTCCAATGAAGAATCTTTCTGTAAAATCCTTTAAGTTCCTTAAAGGCAAATTGCGTAGCATGATTTTTAAATTAAATCTTGGGTAACATTGCCATAATAAATGATTCATAACAGTATGGACCACCAGTCTATTTTCTTTTTTAAAGAAAAACATAAGTTATTTATTGTTGTTACATAGTTAAATGGTGGTTAATTTTTGGGGCCCAACATGGGGCACATAACATTAATTTTTGGCGCCCAACGTGGGACACGCATTTTTATTTGGCGCCCTTGCGTTGGGTCATCTACAATGGGATTGACGACCCTACCGCCAGGTCATGGTGGTAGAGAAGTTTGTTGTTGATGTAAAAGTACAGTAGAACCCCGATTATCCGTGCTCAATGGGACCGGATGGCGCACGGATAATCCAAACAATTTATTGTTTCTTAGGGTCGGCATACGTATGTATACTAAAAATATAAGAAAAAAATCAAACTAAGGTATGTACAATAAATTCTACAAAAAAGTTCATAACACAATGAAAAAAA